ATGTGTATATTCTAAGCTTACCATATGGCAATAACACTTGATATCTTTTAAGTCTCTCTTGTCCTATGTTGAACTTCATGGCAGGGGGGGGGGGGTTCCAGCATGCAGGGTCATCTTTTAGTTCCTAGGGCTCTGGTGTGTCACAGAGAAGATTCCTTAACAAAAGAGTGTAAAGCAACAATAGAATCTGTAAAGTGTTATTAGTGCTGAGAGGGGGAACTTAACATTTTCACTATGGTAGAAATTAGGCATCTGGTAAACTTCCACTGAGTTTATGGCATTTAGTATTTGCACTGTCTGGGCTTAGGATATCTCTACTCATGTCCCAAGCCAGCATTAAAAACTCTGAGCATTGATCAGTGTCCAGCATGTGATGTTAACAGAAGTAACCATTTAATCCTTACACAAAGAATATAGATGTTCACAGGCATATAATCTGAACATCCAAGCTAGTTCATTTCTTCTGTTTGCAGGTCGTTCCTCCAAAGATTCTGTAGGCCAGATCTCTGTCCACGTGGATGTCACCACCACCCCAGGGACTGGAGAGCATAAAGTCACTGTAAAAGGTACATATGGGGTTCAGATATAGCAACCTATTAATCTTTAACATCTACAGAAATCATAGGAAAACTATTACTTCTCTTGTATATATTTTTTAATCTAAACTACTATAGGAAGTGATTAAAATTTCTTCAGAAATAAACGTTCTTTATTTTAAACCATCTAAAGACTTGACACATTGGGGACTAGATTTCAAAAGTGGATTTATTTTACAATTAAATATAGTTTCTCAAACTGACCGATATTTTCTTACCACTCACATAATCTCATTTTATGTCACTTTTAACTGGTTTTTCTTGTTGTCAATAAATGGCTTGATATTATAAACAAATGAACCCTGCTTTCCAACTAAAAGTTTTCATTTAATAGCTACCATTTTACTGAACATTCTCATGTTCCATTTTTATTATAGACTTAGTCATTTTAATATCCACTTTGGTCAGAATCATAGTCTTCCAATGAATATTTTAATTGTACCATATTCCTAAACTGCTATGCTTACAACAAATTATACGACAAGTACATATGGAAAAAAAACAAGAAGTGGTCATGCTTCTATAGGATCTTAAATGTAAATGTAGATCAAGCCTAATAGTTTCATCTTTAGCAGTAGAAATTTTAAGACTCTTTCCTACTGACAGCCAAGACCAACCAGGAACATACAAATACATTGTTTGTGAGTCCTGAATTAGGAGACAGCCATAGCATTTCGTATATAATGGGATTAGCAACTGAGGAAGAAACAATGAGTTAATGACCATGGTAAAGTTTTATAAATAATACTGACTGTGAGAATATTTATAATACACTATAATCTAATTTTTGGTATGTGCACTAACATAGAATTAATTTTAATCTACTTTCTAAATATTGCATGGGGGAGCCTCCCTAATGTTTAATATGAAAAACCACCAGGGTTTTAACCTTTCATTATAAATTTCATTCACATGAATGTCAAATTGAGCTTTCCATTAACAGGGCATTCCAGGGCATCGAGTATTTCAACTTGTGGGTACAGTCAGGGCACGCTCAAATACAAGTTCTGGTCAATGAAGGAATCTAGTTTCCACAGAATAGTTTGCTAAAGCTTGGCTTCTGCTTTTCAGTGATCGCCATCAACGACTTAAACTGGCAGACCACAGCCATGTTCCGCCCCTTTGTGGAAGTTTGCATGCTGGGACCCAGCCTGGGGGACAAGAGGAGAAAACAAGGGACAAAGACAAAGAGCAACACGTGGTCACCAAAGTACAACGAAACCTTCCAGTTGTAAGTCAGAAACAAATCACTTATGCATTTAACTGGAGGCTAGTTAGTTATGCATTTAACTGGAGGCTAGTTAGTGTGCAGCTAAAACCTACTGGAAGATTCAGGGTGGAAAGTAAAACCCACGGGTGGTCTCATGTTCTCCACTAAGCAAGTAAGCTAAGCTCTGATCCTTTTCCTCAGCAGCTGTACATATCAGGCAGTGTTGGAGACAGGTAGTAGCTGGCCTTTGCTGTCATGGAAATGCCTTTCTTGAGATGAGAGATTAATGTCATGGTCAAGTGGAAGGACCCAAGCTAATACGTTTAAAGAAACAGTATACAATGGGAAGGAGGGTAAGACTAAATGGCTGTGGTGAAGCCCACACGGAGATATACACTTAAACAGAGATGTACACTTAAGGGAGCATACACACTATTAATTTTACTATAAATCTTTTCATTTAAAAATATTACGATAGTGGTCTTCGTACTACATTATACACAAAGCTGCTACCACTTGGAACCTCTTGCCAACTACAAATTAACTGTGCAAGGACTCTCACTTGAAAAGGAATCACTGTGATGTTTAAGTGAAATTATCCCTGTTCAAAAGGAACAAGACTATAGCCTTCCACTTCAAATCACACAAGTACCTTGATCTAATTCAGATGTCTTTCACATATACAACATCTTTCTGGAACTAACTTGGGAATTCAGAAAGCCACTCCTATCTTGTTTTGTTCTTTGATTTCTACCCATCAGGATACAGTATTATTGCCTGTTTATTCATTTTATTTCAGATTGCCTCTTAAATAAATACCCAGTTTAGTGACCAATGTCACCTGTAAACAAACATCTGGATGCATAATTCCCTGCACCCCATACCTCCCTAACATGCCATTCTATGCAGTAAGCTGTCTTCAGTTGTGCTAGTAGAGTTAACTCTCATTAGAGGGAAGAATTGACACTATAGCGCCAACTTCTGCTAAAAATGATATACTCTAGAAATGTGCACCAATTGTAGCATCTCGGGAATGGTGCTTCATAGCCCATTCTGAGAAAAGGCTCCTGGAAAAGTTTCCCTGGGAGTCAGAGGTAAAGGTTCTTAGTGATGGACAAAGAAATAGCACAGATATTCTCCCAACAGTATCCCTCATCATTATCAATCCAGAGCCTCTGTATCTAATAACTAAATACAACGTAATATTTTACTTCCCATCCCTATATGATATACTCATCATCAATGAAGCAAGCAGGTACAGGAATCTCAGGACATGTTTGACACCATTTCAAGCACCATGAGTAAAAGTTTGGCTCATTCTGTGTCTTTAATTCATCCAGCATTCTGGGTAACGAAAATCGCCCAGGAGCCTATGAACTTCACCTCTCGGTTAAGGATTACTGCTTTGCCCGGGAAGATCGGATAATTGGGATGACAGTCATTCAGCTACAAAACATAGCAGAGAAAGGGAGCTACGGAGCGTGGTACCCTCTTCTGAAAAATCTCTCTATGGATGAAACTGGCTTGACCATCCTTAGAATACTCTCTCAGAGGACCAGCGACGATGTCGCTAAAGAGTTTGTGAGGCTTAAATCTGAAACGAGGTCTATTGAAGAGAGTGCCTGAAACAAATACTTCAAAATGCTGTCTCTGAGAATTCATAAACTCCCGTTGTTTGACCCTTACATGCATGTGAAAATACATGGGAATGTTTAAACCACTGCGTTTTGATGTTGCCACTAATCAACCATAATGTCTACAAGGTATGTGAAAAATTTTTATACTCTTTCTGGTTATACTCGTTCTGGTCTTTGAGAAATAAATGTTCCATGAAGTGCCAAAATTACGATGTAAAGTGAAATATCAAGACGATCTTTTACAATGTTCTTCTCATTACCAGTTTCTCCTCCATGAAGTAAACTAAAAAAGTCTTGAGTTTGTCCATTGGTTGTCTTTGTTAGATCTATTTAGAGTGACCTCTCAGAAAGCATCTATGATTCGACTTCTGTTTTGTTCACCCTTACCTTACTGTAGACATCCTGCAGATCCAGTTTTCTACCACACCTAGAAATGCAGCAACTTCTAGAAAGTTTGTAATTTTATAGTTGCAGATATATCGTGATGACTTTTGCATACAAATTACAATAGAAAAGGTGGGAAATATTTTCTGCTGACCAGTTCCCAACCTTTCTAAAATATCACTGTGAAGAAATGCTTTCGAGGCAAACTTACACAAAGCAATGCTAACTAGTTTGTTAATGTTTGATATATTGATGAAACTGTGTTCTTTAAAACTGCCAAGGCACCCCCCCATCACATTTGTAATTTTAAAAAATAGAAATGAAAAAATGGTAACCTGGTGCATTTGCCATGTAGCATTCTGTCTCAGCTTTTCCCTATTTCATTCTTTGGAAAGTCATGGAATGCAAGGACAGTTCGTTTAAATTTCCTGTGATAAGTAACTCGTTGGCCGGAAAATACTAACATTATGTGTATGACTACTTAACTCTGCAACCAGATATTTCTTTTAAAAATATTCAATGATTTATGCTGAAGGCAGAATTACTATATATTGCAGAAAAACCAAAAGTCACATCTTCATATATATTTAGGAGGGAAAAATGTAAAAATAAACTCAAAATAAATAGCTCATGATTTTGTAACTCATGTTCTTTATATGCCCCAAATGCAACTTGGTTATGAATACTTGCATTGTATGGATTTTTATGATTTGACTTTCCAGAGTCTGTATCTAACTATTTGGCTGCAGAACATCACTGTGTCATTGTAACTTAACAGCCACAGCTGTGAGTGGACTCCCAACGTCTGCAGGAACAAGAAACTGTTACGTTGACTGTGTTATGTAAACATGCTGGTCTAGTATGTGATGAGAAGTGACTAGGGTCATCCGTCTCAACCATTCTGCTACTGGGCCTGAAAACACACAGGCTGGTGAGATTGGCTATTTTGTGTTAAAATCTTAAGCGACTGCTTTGTTAATGACTTTTCCAAATGCCTAGTATGATGCAATCTCTGGCATATGCATTAATAAATGGATGTGTATTGAGCTCATGCAACACTTTTGGGAGTTTTGCCTACTTTTTTTCATAACCTAATAATGATAAAACACACTAGTCTCTTACCACTTGCAATCCTCTTCTATGAGTATTTAGAAGCAAATGATGTGGTGTTAAAATTCACTCCGCCTGTGATGATAGAAACAACTGTGTATGACAAGATAACGCATTGGAAGTAGGAAGAACTAATGTAATTACCCAGTATGGGTTGTGGGACAGTGTTAAACCTACAAAGAAAATCACTATCGAACATATTCAAGGTAGCAGCATTATTAAAAAAAACCAACTATATTGGTAGCCATTTTATAACTGAAGAATTCATTCTAGATCTATCTTAGCATTGTAGGAGCTCACTAATGTCAGAACATGAAACACTGGAACAAGGGGCAGATCACTGATCACTTCACAGAAATGATGAGTTAAGTGTACTTTTTATATTAACTAGATCACTTGTTCTATTTTTTAAGAATTTAAAAATTTTTAATTATGTGATTCTGTGTATGCTTACATGAGTACAGCTGCTCATGAAATCCAGAAGAAGGGAATAGATCCCCTGGAGTTACAGGCATTGTGAGCTGTCTGGTGTGGGGCATTGGAACTGAACCTGAGTCCTTCAGAAGAGCAACAAGTGCTCCTAACTACTGAGCCATCTCTCCAGCCCCTCATTCTGCCTTTTAAACATACATGTGTGTGTGTGTTAAATGTATATGTATGTGTGTGTATTAAATGTTAAGAGTGGTGGTATGAATTGAGTCTAGTTGTTACTATCATAAAGTACAGGTACTAACTTTGAAGTGGTTATAAATACAGTTCTCCTATAGACTTATCCTCCAAAGACAGTGGTATTTCTAATATCCTTATTCCTCCAAAATGTTATAGTCACATAGTCACTGCCAAGTTTGCTGTGATCTTTCAACTCGGTGATTCTGTGATTGTGTAGCAGTTTATTCATGTTACTCCAGATAAAATACACAAAGGACAATTCCTGTCATTTGTGTGCTGGTAAGTCTCACAAGTGCTTTAAAATACTCATGTAAATCAAACTTGACCAAGATGAAATATTGAAAACCTTAATGCAGCAGTCATCATTCAAAGGCATTCAGATGAATTATTTAGGGTAATCAATAACATATCCCAGTCACATCTTGCTCAGAGTCATCCCCTGCTAGATTACTTTATAGGTTAACTCTACTTTAAATAAGCCACATTTATAAGTGACAATCCTAGCTTAATGTCTGGCATTTGATCTCATTTTAATGCTTGAAAGGACACTTGTTTTATCCTTTTAAGATTTTATAAATTTTTAAATTATATAAATAAATGACTATGCAACCTAGCCATTGTATGGGCTAAATTAGTGCCTTTAATCTTTATGCTCAAATAATGAAAAATAATCATACTCTTAGGACACTTAGTGAATATACATGGATAGGTCTGATTCTCCCTTTACCACATGGAAGGTTCCTGAGCACACAGGACTCCCTGCTCCTGTGTGACCTGTGCTGACACTTGCTCAACTCACCTTTGAAGCAAGTCCTTGGAGCTCAGACATCTCTGCTCAGCAGTTTCTCTGGCTCAGGCAACTCTGATCAGAAGTCTATGGCTCAGGCTTCCAGTGTTTCACAGGCTCAAAACCTATGGTATGAGACATGAAAGAAGAAAGCTACCTACTTTAAAAAAAAATCTTCTCTCATATAATACATCCTGACCACAGCCTCCTCTCCCTTCCAGTCCCTCCCCCACAGATCCACTGCTCCTGTTTCCCTTCAGACAAGAGCAGACTACCCAGGGAGATATCCCCACTTTTAATAAATATTTTTAATGCCCTTTTTTTTTCAATTTGTGACGTTGAAAAGATACCTTTAGACCCATGTTCCATGTTGTAGCTCATTTGTGGGTTGTGTTTGTATATAGAACAATTTTTAAAATTCAGCTATTGTTATTTTACTTCCTCTTTCTATCCTGGTGATTATGATTAAGGATTCAGCTATTTTATTAATCATTGGTCTATTTGTCTATCAATGGACTGATAGGAAAAAAAATGCATGTATATAACTGCAGACTGCTTTAGAAACAGAAGGAAATCTTGTCATTGGGACATGGATAACCTGGAGAGGTTAACTGAGAAAATCCAGGTACAAAGAGAAGCTCTGAGTGTGCTCACTCACATGCACAACTTGAGAGAGTTGAACTCAGGAAATAGAGAACAAAATAATGGTTGCCAGATGCTAAGGGGTGGGAGTTCAAAGGAAGCACACTGTGAGTTAGGAGAAAGAAAACCAGGAGATCTATTCTATATAATGGTAACTGTAATTAATAAAACTGTATTCTAGACTTACAAATTGCCATATCCCAGACTTACAAATTGCAAAGAGTGGATTTTTAGTGTTTTTGCCATAGCAAAAATAGTTTGTGAGGCTATACATGCATTCAAAACCTTGACGAAGTAATTCTACACTGCAGACATAAATCAAAACTCATGTTGTACACTGTGTGTAATTTTTATTTGTCATAAAGAAAATGTGATACTGTATCAAACCTACATAACTGAAAATATTTCAATTTATAATACAGAGATAGGATTTCTATACATTACCATAATGCCAATGAAAATGCTTTTGTATCTTAGAATATAAACTGGGCAAACTAAAATTTTGTAAATATTAAAACTCACATTGGATCCTACTAAAAGGAAAAGAATTTAGTAAAGTCTCACCAACATGACTGCCCTCAAACACGAGCCAAACAGGATGACACCAATGAACAGTTCAAACTGGGAGGGGAAAAGCCCATAAGGCCTCAATCCTCCATAAAGAACTACAGAAGAACTGAGCAAATTGGGAGTGGGAGAGAGGGCCTCCCCATGGAAGAGCATACCAACTGTTTGTCCAGTACCAAAGAGTCAGTCCTTACAACATACATACACATAGCATTATATGGACCAAACGGATTATATTCAGGAATGTATATGTATACGTACATGTGCAAGTTATAACAATTAGTTAAAAAATAGCTCATGAATATGGAGGGGAGTGGGAAAAGGTATATAGAAAGGTCTGAAGGGAGAAAAGAAAGAAAAGAAATGTAATTAAATTATAATCTCAAAATTTTTTAATGATACTTTAGATGAAAATGAAGTATAATAAATTTAAAGAAGATAGTGCTAAGTAACTTTTTAAAGAAATGGCTAGCCTAGATCAGGAAAATTTGAGTATGAAGAAAATAAGACATTATTTTTTGAAGGTTTTAAAAATTGAAGTGTATGTGAAAATGTATCTGTGTATATTTGCACATCAGTACAAATGCCTGCAGAGGCCAGTGGTGTCATATTCCCTGGAGCTGGAGTTACAGGTAATTGTGAGCTACTCTATGCAGATGCTGGGAACCAAACTTGGGTCCTTTGCAAGACCTAGACAATAAACATTCTTAACCACCGAGCCATCTCTCTAGCCCCCAGGAGAAATTATTAATGCTAACGTAGAATTTAAGGCACAAAGCATCAAATTATCAGACATGAGAATTAAAAATGCTTTGTTTTGTGTACAAGGACATGTTAACAATTAAACCCCTTACATATCAAGGGAATAATAATTCATGTAACTAGAAAACAGTTGTCTACAATAGCTAAATATTTTTACTAAACTGAAAATGAAAACCAACAGTATTGATACTACTTTTGTCCTTAAGTTTTGCAATGAGTTCTTTCACTATTTCACAGCTTTTCCTCATAACATAGATAACGTATATATGTTAAAGTCACTGTGTATTCAATGTAGTGTAGCACGTTATTTCACATCAAAACCAGCCATAACATTACAGACTATACAGTTGCTCTAGGTTGAACTGTAACTCAAAATAAACTTGTGTCCAAATTCCTAATGTATCCTTTGACACACTTTCCTCTTTTTCCAACGAATATTTGCAGTGGTTGTGTATATGACTAGAGTTAGATTTTCCTTAGCACTAAGAACACAACGAATCACCCTGCAGAACAGAGTACTCAGGCAGTATTTGCAAGGACTGCTTACTGACTTGATCTAGACCACCAATTAAAAGATGCAGATTAACTGAGTGGGTCAAGAAAAACAAGACTCAGCTACATGTTGTCTCCAAGAAACACGTCTCAGTAAAGATAGTCAAAAGCAGCATCAATGGAAAGGCACCAACCTACGAAACAAATCGAAGCTACAACCAGCTGGAATGCCTATTCTCAGGTCAAACAGACTAGATCTCAGAACTAGTTGGAAGAGATCAGAAAGTCACTAGACAAGAAACAATTCATTAAGAATATTTCATTATAAATATGGATGAACCAAGTGTTGGGGCTTCCAATTTGTAAGGCAAACAAAAAGGTTATGAAAAGTCAAATAAGTCCTCACACAACAAGAGGGAGAGATTTAGACACCGAAGTCTTCGTATCTTATCAGATTATACAACAAAACACGAGTCAGCTACAAGAGTTACCACAGCAACTATGCAAAATATTGAATACTGATCATTACATTTTTTTAATGAACAGGGAGCAATTTAAAAAATCAGGGAAGAAATTTACAATTTCAAAGAATAAATGTAAAGTGATAGCACAGTCTACCCAAATCTTTAGCTACAGCTAAGGCAGTTGTAAAAGGAAAGTTTAAAATTGTGGGGACTTACTTTAAAATACCAGGAAGATCTCAAACAACCTAAAGATGTGCCTTAAGATTCTAGAAATCCAAAGAAACAACAATCCCAAATGCAGTCGGCCGCAATGATTAGTACAGATTAGAAATGAAAGTAAATCTAAAAGAGCAACATTTAGAATTAAGGAAACAAGGAATTGGTTCTGTAAGGAGATAAGATAGACAAAATTAACAAAAAAAGGTAAAACCCAAATTAAGCCGGGCGGTGGTGGTGCACACCTTTAATCTCAGCACTCTTGGGAGGCAGAGCCAGGCGGATCTCTGTGAGTTTGAGGCCAGCCTGGGCTACCAAGTGAGTTCCAGGAAAGGTGCAAAGCTACACAGAGAAACCCTGTCTCGAAAAACCAAAAAAAAAAAAAACAAAAAACCCAAATTAATAAAAGTATAGATTAAATGGGATCAACAAACACTAGTGAAAGCCAGAAGACTGAGTGAACTATTATTTTTATTATTAAATTTATTCATTTATTTTACACCCTGACTGCAGTTTCCCCTCTCTTCTCTCCTCCCATTTCCTCCCCCACCTCCCCCATCCACTCCTCTGTTTCTGTTCAGAAAGGAGCAGGCCTCCCATGGGTGTCAACAAATCAGGGCATATCAAGTTGAGGCAGGACTAAGCTCCCCTCCTTGTATTGAGGCCGGGTGAGGCAACTCAGTATGAGGAATAGGTTCTTGGAAGCCAGCCAAAGGGTTAGGGACAGGCCTTGCTCCCATCACTGGTAGTCCCACCAGTAGATCAAGTTACACAACTGTCACACACTAGAGGGCCTAGGTCAGTCCCATGCAGGTTCCCTAGATGTAGGTCCAGTGTCTGTGAGCTCCTATGAGCCCAGGTTAGTTGTCTCTGTGGGTTCCCTTGTGATGACCTTGACCCCCCTGGCCTGTACTATCCTTCCTCCCTCTCTTCAACAGGATTCCCTGAGCTTGGCCCAGTGCATGGCTGTGATCTCTGAATCTGTTTTCATAAATCACTAGATGAAGCCTCTCTGATGTCAACTGGGGTCATTACCAATCTGATTACAGGAGATAGCCAGTTCAAGCTACCTACCCACTATTACTAGGGGTCTTAGCTGGGGTCATCCTTGTAGATTAGTGGGAGTTTCCCTTGCATCAGGTTTCTACCTGATCCCAAAATGCCTCCCTCATCAAGACGTCTCTTACATTACTCTCCCCCTCCATCCACCGCCCCAACCCAATCCCTCATGTTCCCATCCCTGCCAAAACTATTCTTAAGAGTAGATCACATGGCCCAGCAGTAGACAGCCAACAGAACTCCAACCCAACAGTGTCTTTGGAGATCCCTTGTCTCATAATATCATGTCAGGGCTTTATTTTTATTCTTACCCTACAAGTTTTGCATATACATTATGGTTTCCTGTTTTGTGTTTTTATGGGATTCCTGTGTGTGTCTCAGCATTTATGTCTGTTTCTTGTGCCTTTTCCTCAGCTCATTTCCTTCTGTTTGCTTTGTCCTTTTACAATTTGTTTTTACTTTATCTTATTATGTTTTAGTCTATTATTTTCACTCAGATGCCTGTTTGTTTTCTAATGAGACACATAAAGGGTGTGGATCTGTATGGGAGGGGAGGGGGACTAGGAGAAGAAGAAATCATAATCAGAATATATTGAATGAAAAAAAACAATTTCCAATAAAAGGAAAAAATAAATACATATATACTCTAAGACAAAGATATATGATCTAACCACTTGAAAGTAACATATATAATAAGTCAAGTATATTGGGATAGTTGGCAATGAATGGGGTAAGGAATGGAAAATGAAGATTTGGAAAAATTAAAATCTCATTATGGCTCCCTGAATAAGACCAGTATAATGATAATACCAGATGACCTGCCAGCCCAGACGGGGGAAATTCTACATGGTCCTGTGCCCAGATGAAGAGCTACGGGTGATCCTGTGGCTGCTGGAAAGGGGAGAATTAGTGGCATCCAGGGA